ACATATAAATAGAAGTATATATATATATATATATATTATTTATGTATGAACACAATATACGTGCATACATATATACATGTGTATGTAAATATGGATATGAATATATAAACTGTATTGTATATATATATATATATATATATACAAGCACACATACACACATATTTTTATACATTTCGCATTAAAAAAAAAAAGCCACATTTACAGATATATTCATTTAATTTCAATATTGTACATAATACGCCAAAAATACTAGTAGAGGATATTCATGCGTCTTTACCTGCAAGTAAATATGTATTATCAACGCTCCTTGACTTCGCCACGAACAAAATTCAGGGAACGCTACACCTTTTGGAAATATCTTGAGCTGCGAGACAGCTTTAACAACACACTTCCGATAAATTAATACAAACACCACCACATCTACATCGACAATTCACACAAACCATCACTTTAGCCATCAACGACGTCTTTACTTGCATTGTATAATCTTAAATTAAATAAATATATCTATTGACTGGCATCCTCTTTGTTGTAACCTCCACGCCCCCCACCCCCGCTCCGACCTCCTCTGCCCCTCCCATCCCCGCGACCTCTGCCTCCTCCTCTACCACGTGTTCCTCGGTCACTACCACGTCCACGGTCACCACCTCGCCCACGCCCACGGTCGCCGCCGCGCCCACGCCCACGACCCGTTGTGCTCATGGACGTAACTTGATCTTCTTTGACTTTATCGAGCACCTAACAAGAGCGGTGTTGGGGTTAGTGATGGTGTAGTGTATCAGTGTAAATGCGAATGTGCTTATGGCCTTAACTTGGACCTTAGTTCATTTTATTGAGCACTTAAAAAGAGAAGAAATTGGATTAGGCAGGATGTCTTAAAATCCGAGCGACACATGCGTAATTTTCAACCACGGACAGCATTTCCTGGCAAATTTGTTCGCTCGACCGCATGGACAATGTATTTGTAACAGAAATTGGCGCGCATTTTACACAGATTCAATTTGTATATACGGGTTGGTCGAGCACTAAATAGAATATACCTCGTCCGGAATTGAGAGATATTTTACTGTATTTCCCCGAATGTAACACTCCGGCAGCCTCCAAAATCGGTCGCCATCCTGTGTTGAGTAAAGTGTCAGCGGTGATGGCTAAGAGTTGTACTTGAAATCTATACAAATGATTATTCATCTGTATATGCGACAGATATCCAACTTCTAGAAAATCCAGTACAATTCAAATGCAAAACATCTTTCAGCTTCGCCTAGGATAAACCCGAGGTAGTTAACAAACAAACCAGTCACTGACAGACATCGAGGCTTTATATATATATGTGTCAAGCAGTGATGGCGAAGCTTGGAAGGCTAGCATTAGGAAAATTATAGTAAAAATAAACAAAATTTTCACGCGAGAATCATTATATATTTGAATATATATATATATATATATAAATATATATATATATATATAATATATATATATATAAATATAT